CCACTCTAGAAAAATTAGGTAATATCTAGAATGAAGTATAAAAAGTAGGGATTTATTAGGATGAAGACTATTATTTTAGCAAAACCACATATCAGTTACAATAGACCAGATACTTTAGTATAAATATTATATATACAATTATTTTCATAACTGCTTGCATCTGACCTTTTGTCAATGCAGCAAAACATCCAGAGGGTGAGATTGTTTCTGCTCTTTGGGAAGCTTTAGCCCACAGACTTTTGACTGTGTTTGGGCAGGTGGTAACAGCCTGGATGATACTAGTAGTCATAAAAACTGAGTTGTGCGGAATATTTCTTTATACTGTATGAATATAAGTCGTTATGGTTGGCTTAATAAACAAGCTGATTGCCCAACATCTGAATGGAATAAGTTTAGGCAGGAGAGCCAAACAGAATGCTGGGAAGGAGAAAGGCCGAGTCTGGAGTCAGAAGCAGACACAGAGAGAAGCAAGATGGACATGCCATACTAAGAAAAGGTACCAAGCCATGTGACAAAGCATAGATAAGAAATATGGGTTAGTTTGAATGTAAGAGATAGCTAGGAACAAGCTTGAGCTATTGGCTAAACATTTATATTTAATATTAAGCCTCTGTATGGTTACTTGGGAGTGGCTTGTGGGACAGAAACTTCTGCCCACAGAGCTGGTCAACGCATTTCTCATAGTTGTTTTCCCAGGGCCAATGCAGCTGTGGTCACGTAAGAAAAATCAGGTGCTGACTTGTATTTCACCAGGCTTAGGGTTCACTGGGTGTTAGGATGAGGGATAGGAGGTTTTTGTGAAAGAGACTTTGGAAAATGTATTGGTGAAATGAAGGAGTGAGAAGAAGAGGAATGGACTGACTGATAAATGTGGATGTTTTTAGATTGCAGGTCCAAAGCTGGCAAACAGTGGATAGAACTTCAAGTATCTGAATGAGACTAATAGACTCAAAGGCAATTGTCTCAGACTAGCCAAAAGCAGAAAAATTTGACTTATAAAGTCCCACTACAAAATCTTTAATTTCTGAGAAATGCCATTATTAAATATCAATTCCATTTGAGACAGGTGTATGTGTTAAATTTGCTTATGCCATGAAATGCTTCTCTATGGGTTCAAAATATGAATTGAATCTACTATGTGAGTACCTATTACTTAGTAGCACTGGAGAGAAAATGGCCACTACATGGCTACTCTGTTGCCTGAAATTTAAACTTTTTATTTGTATTTAATTAAGCTTAATCTTAGATAATTTCATACATGTATATAATGCATTCTGCTCACTCTTCTTCCCTACAATCCCTTATCTCTCTCTCATCCCTGTTAACAAAACCCCTCCCTATATGTCTCTGTATTCATTACCATTCACTGGAAAGAGGGACTTTGCTGATTAAGGCTGGGAATAGCACTTGTCTATGAATATAAATATGAAGATTCAATATAAATATGAAGATTCAATGAAGGCAATTTTGGACCATTTAGCTGAACAATAGGAACTTTGTAATAGGTTTCTATTGTTATGTAAAAATAAATAGGTATTTGGTTTAAAAGACAGAACCTCAGACCTTCCTGACCATGGGTTTCTGATTAAATTTACAGTACTTTTAAAGAATTAAAATTATCATGTTGATTTTATACAAAATTATAGACTATTTGGTATATAAAATTGTGGTAAATATTAACCTACTTATTTTTTGATAATATTTTACAGATAAGAAAATCATGACATCTACAGAAATCAGGACTGTTCATTGGTCAATGTCCTGTTAGCAGAAGAAAGAAGTCAGAAACTTCTCAGGAACGTAATAGCATACATTAGTGAAGTCCAGCTCTGGTCTAGTTTGGCTGAGTCTCAAGTCTTCAAAGAAGTCTTAACCCCCTCAGTTTCTTCTGTTAGTTCTTTCAGCGGCATGAATCTTCTCCAACAGCCATACCTCCTGAACATTTCCCGCATTCACTTCTAGAGCTTTATTTTTTTACTTGGTCACCCTATTAGAAGGACACCTTCCCTATCCTAACATAGTCGCAATGTCTTAGATGACCTAGGATAAATGCTATCCCCAAATTGACGGTTGGAACCTGTAGAATGAAATTTGCTGGTCCCGAGAGGAGTGGCTTCTCAAAGGAAAAGTGATAGGCTTTTACTATAAAGTTTATAGTAATAGAGGCTTACTATAAAGTTTATGATAAACAGAGGAATGTGTGCAAGCCAGACCTGAATTTAAAAAAAAAAAAAGACACAAAACAAACAAACAAAACACCCAAGTTATTTTTATTTTCTAACTTCAGTCATGTCTGAGGTCATTTTAAAACTCTAAGGTCACCTACACCACCATAATGACAAACACTGAGGGGTTTTCTACTCTGAGACAGCCAGCAACATTTGTATGTTTAAAGTAGATGATGGATGTAATTTGAGCAAAGTGATCAGCATTTTGAATTGTAGTTAACCATTGCAGATGATCCAGATTGCACAGTTTTGCTCATATGCTTCACCAGATGTGCTATGCTTCTATTTTACTTAACTGAAATTTGTACTTAAAAAATGACACCAATGGAGAAATCATAAATTGTGATCTTTGACACAGACAGTGACTATAACCTCATGCATGAAGAGATGGCTCTGAAAGTTTAATCATTCCAATACCCACATGGGTCGAGTTGGAAATAGTCAATTTTAGTTTTTGTGTTTTGCTTTTTCTTCCCTATTCTTATTTTCTTTCCAGTAATTAATTCCTCTTTAGGGAAAAATAAAACTCTGACTTACCGGTAGGAGCCACAATGATACCGTTAGCCATTTAAACGAGGGTTTGATACTTGCATGTGCTTGACTCTAGGTGAGGACTTTGATAACAATAGATGTTAAAGAAACACTGTATTATGTGATTATTAACATCATATTCTGGAGGCACACAAATTTGCTTTGGAATGGTGTAACATAAAAATGCAGATGGTGGCGTAATGAGTTCTCATTTGCATACCACCCAGCTCCAAAATTTGTTAACTCGTGGCCATTTCTCTCTTTTATGTTATGACCAAACTTGGACTTTATAAAAACAAAATTTTTTTTTTTTTTTTTTTGGTGACACTGTTTTTGTTACTTTTCTTCTTGTATGAAAAGAGCTGACCGAGCAACTAAGGAAAGGGAAGGTTTCCTTTGGGCAGCAGCTTGTGTACTGTCTGTCATGGTTGAGGGAGTTGTGGCAGCAGGCAGGTGAGATGAGTGGTCACATTGTGTTGACATCCAGGAAGCCGTGAATGATGAATACTTGTGTGGTGGTATTGTGTTCCCCAAAATATTGTGCACCCTAATAAACTTATCTGGGGTCAGGACACAGAACAGCCACTAGATACAGAGGCTAGAAAATGGTGGCACTCACACCTTTAATCCTAGCATTCCAGAGGCAGAAATACCTCTGGATCTCTGTGAGTTCAAGGCCACATTGGAAACAGCCAGGCATGGTGACACATGACTTTAATCCCAAGAAGTGAGCCTTTAATCCCAGGGAGTGATGGCTGAAAGCAGAAAGATATATAAGGCGTGAGGATCAGAAACTAGAAGCATTTGGCTGGTTAAGCTTTCAGGCTTTTGAGCAGCAGTTCAGCTGAGAGTCATTCGGATATGAGGACTGAGAGACTTCCAGCTGAGGAAACAGAATCAGCTGAGCAATTGGCAAGGTGAGGTGGCTATGGCTTGTTCTGCTTCTCTGATCTTCCAGAGTTCACCCCAATAAGTGGCCTCAGGTTTGATTTTATTAATAAGACTCTTAGAGATTCCTGCTACATACTTGTACTCAGCTTCTTTTCTTTTCAATTAGTGGAGGACTGTAGCTCGGGTTATGATGTCACCCATGTTTATAGTCAGTTTTATTGCTTCAATTAACATAATCTAGACAGCCCTTCACAACAAACCTAAAGTTTGTGATTGTTGATTGTAGGCCCTGTTGACAATATTTGACCTCATAGTAACTTTGATAGAAATGATGTTAAGTAAATACACTCAACTAAAGCTGTTGTGAAAAGCTTTTTTATGTGCTGATCCATATAAGAATCTGAATTTAAATCAGAGATTGAATTTAAAGAACATATGTACATATATGCATATATGTTAAAGATAAACAAGCCACAGAATCTGGCCATTGGTTGAAGAAGATAGGCTGTGAAATATTATCAAAGTAAATACCTATTTTTCTTTTATTCTTTAGTTTAAATATTACTGATACTCTATCAAACACTCTTAGAACTATATAACTTTCCATGGTAGCACATAAAATAATGGTGATAAACTTACCTGATTTTAAGACTAAAATTTTATTGGCTGAAATAATCTTAATTATTTTATTTTTATGGGTTTGGAGAGAAGTAGAATTGAGAACAATGTAAACTTTGCACAAAGATAAGCTTATTAAAAATATTCTTAGAAATAAGTAAATACAATTGCCCTCCAGTATCCCTAGAAAAGTGATTCTGTCAAAATCCATGACTATCTGTCTTTTATATAACAGAGCATAGTAATTGCCTACATTAAATGTATATCCTTTATATGTGTTATCTACAGATTACTTATAAGAAGTAATATAACATAAATGCCATGTAAATGTTGTATAGTTTAGGGGTAAGGTAATCTGTACATGATCAGCAGAGACAATTTTTCTCCTAGATGTTTTTTTGTTTTTCTAAATGCAGTTGCTTGACTCTAACATGGGAAGTCTTGAGGATATGAAAGGCTAACTGCATATATTGTTCAAAACAGGCTTAAGAAAAGATGGCTTAAGTGAATTTTGATAAAGATCACTTATAAAGATAGGTTGTTTCTAGTTAGACTGTAACAGAATAAGACCGTGAAATTACAAATTCAAGTAGAAAATAAAAAAAAACAATGAAAAGAGGGTGCCAGATAGACAATGCCTATATTGTTTTTGCTGTGCTTTCTTTAGAAGTCTGGGTTTGGGCTGATTCTCTTACCATGTGGTTCAGTGGGTGACAGGACCTGTTTTTATATATTGGAATTTCATGACTCAGGAGGTTAACTTACACAGCTCTTGATTTAACACTGAGCTATCACAAAGAGAAAGAAGAAACACAATTGGATCTCAAGTTTTTATTGGAGTCATATTGTCATTTCAAACACAATACCAGCGAAAAGTGACTCCATGCTGACCTGCACTTCACAGCCCGGAAGGACAGCAGGGAGGAGGAAAGGAGTTCTTTGCTTTGATCATCAAAATGAGGAGTCCCCATCAATTGTGCTCTGAACCAGAGACATTACTGGAGGTGGTGCTTGCAAAAACATGAGATGGGTAAAACTGCAGCTTTATCTCTTTGCCTTGAAGATTTCAGCCTCAACTGAATGTACCAGGCTCTGCTGATTCCTCATGGGAGACCTTGCCTTGGAGGAGGTGGGAATGGGGGGTAGGTTGGGGGAAAGGTTGGGGGTGGGTGGGAGGAGGGAGGACAGGAGAATCTCGGGTTGATATGTAAAATGAATAGAAAATCTCTTAATTAAAAAAAAAAGGAGGGGAAAAAAGATTTCAGAACTCCTTATGTAAGAAAGTCTTTACTCATCCACTGCCATTCCCCCCACTAATGTTGAAAAATGTAAAATTTCCAGTTGTATGTTTGGTCTCCAAACTGCCAGAAATTGGAGTGCAATGGTGTTTATATACAAGTCTGATTAATATTCTTTGGAGAGAGGCTGCTTCATTGGTTCTGCTTTGTCTGAGAGCAGATGGAGCCCTACATGAGACTAGTCTGTGTTTGCAAAAGCATAACCTATTCTGGAAGTGTCTCTTTGCAACAAAATGAGCTATCAGGGTGGAGAAGAACCTCTTACTTGTCTTATGACTAATGTGCATGGATAATTGATAATCTACTTTGGAAATCGTGTTTTTTTTTCTCCAAGACTGTGGGCAGAGATTGATTTTAAAATTTAAAATGTCATCCGCTATTTTCTCACTTGTGATTTAATTGAATTCGAATTTTATGAGTTCCTCCTTACTGGACAGTTTGCTCCCACTTTTGTTGATTGTTTTGTGAGAGTTTTGGCATCCAAGGAAAAGGCAACTTGTGTACATTTTAGCAGGGACCCTTTAGGATGAGTTGTCATATCCTATGCAAAGTTACTTTCCAATTTCAAGACAGTAGCACAACTTGACAATTTTCTTTATTCTTAAAAAATAGTTTTAGAAATCACAAGTAGCCCAATAGCAATGCAATTCTTACTTTTATTTGTAAACCTTAATAAAAATAGTCATGTAGTTGCCTTTCGGTTTGATTAAATATACTACCACCATGGTTAAGAAGTTAGAGCTTTAGGGAGACAACATTACTTTTGTTAAAATCTTCATTATTTAATTTGATGAACATTGATTTTTCAATAATATAGTGTACTCTATGTAAAGGCGCTGCAACTTAAAGTATTCTTATATCATACCCATACTTATAACATCCATTTGACATAATTAAATCTAAAATAAGACCGAGTATCATAGCAACCGAATATTTTGTTTTGTGCTTAAAATAGGATTCCTCCAAAGAAGAGGCAAGCTGACTTCATGAAACATGCTGCCTGTAAATTTCTATAATAATTCTATAAAAGTGGTAAGTGCTAGAAGCATATTGGATTCAAAAAGAATTTGTAAAAGTTCTAAGAGCAGATGTCTAATCTCATTTTATTTCTGTATTCTTTTGTCATAGCGCCATAATCTGAAACAGTGACTAACACAGTAAATATTTGTTAAGTGGATGAAGGAAGCAACACATTATCAGTGTTCTATCCAAGCACACTCACTGAGACATGTTTTCCCTAGCATTTGTGGCTTAGATAGATGATTTCTTTTCCTTGAAATTCACAGCAACAACAACAACAAAATCGAGTTGGTTGGCAGCCAGTTCAACTCATATATGTAATTTTATACGTTCAATTTCAAAACTGAGGATGTAGTGTCAAGATGTGACTTACAACAGTAAGTGATAGTAACTGAGTTTTAGTGAGTTCATGACCTTTTGCATACTTAATATAGATTTGTTTGATTTTATAGTTATATAGAGTTTCCACAGAACATTTATGAGTACCAATGGTTGTAAAATGTTATTATCCTTGAAGTAAAGGGGAAACTAACCTGGGAAGACTAATCTCTGAAAGCCAGTGCAGATGGCAAAGGGTAAAATGTAACATTTACTGTTATGTCATGAATGGACTGGCACAGCATTTAGAGTTGTGAATGAGATGGAAAACACCCTGTAAGTCAAACTGCTGCACATCGTAAGGTGGTTAGCTTCGGCTGTCAGCTTCACTGAATGAAAGGACACTTAGAGCATTGATGGTGTATCTGTGAGGGTGTTTAAACGAAGAGGGAAGACTCATATTGTATGTGGGTGCTATTAAATCATAGGCTGGCATCACGGGTTGAATGAATACAGAAGGAGGAGCTGATCACCAGCATTCATGTCTTTCTGCTTCTTATACAGATTAAATGAGAGCAGTTGCCTTTTACTCCCGTCATCTTGACTTCCTCTGCCACAGTAGACTGTATCCCCATACCCATGAGTCTAAATAGTCTTTCCTTCCAAACAATGTCTTTGTCAGGGTTTTTTTTTTTTGTCATATATTGATAAAACTAACTAGTACAGACATTCATATTTGGCTGGGAGAATGTTAGTATGCTAAACCTGACCACGTTGTTTATAGGTCTTTATAGAAGCTACTTTTGGGAGGCATGGGTAAAAGTCTGGGCTAGATTAGCCCTTGAATACTTAATCAGAGCTTAGTGACCTGATTCTGTGGGAGTGTGGAAAACCAGAATGCTGATAGAAATGTAGACAACAGCAAGCAGCCTGGTTCATGATGTTGCAGATGGGAATGAGGGATTCTTTGGGGAACTCAGGTAGAAAGGCTCTTCAGGGTACATTCTGACTGTATGGACATTTTGCCAGCATCTTGAGTGATGTGGAATTCAGAAGGGATTGTGATTTGGCCGAGGAGATTTCAAGATAGCGAAATGTGGACTATGGCATGGTTACTATGCAATATTAGATCTACAGTGAGAGAAGAGGACAGAAAAGCCACAAATTGTATGCAGTTTGGTGAGGAAAGAAGTGTGTGTGGGGAGTTCAAAGTTGCATACATGAAGGGTTAACACAACTGTAATTATAAAAAAAAAAAGGTTGGGGCAGTGCAAGAGAAACTCAGTGTTGTACACTGGGACAGTATAAAAGGTATCTTGAGTGTAAGACCCCATCCATTGAAGGTTCCAACTTAAACCAATGCAAAGTGTTTTGAAAGGGGAGAGCCGCTAATATTGTTCCCTGTCCAAAAACAACATTTTGAAATTTATTCTCCTCTCACACAATACAACTTGCCCTACCTTCCCTCCTCCCAGTACCCTTCAACCTCCCTTTTCCCCCAGATCCACTGCTCCTCCATTTCCCTTCAGAAAAGAGCAGCACTCCCAGTGATACCAATCAATCATGGCATAACAAATGCAATAAGACTAGACTTAAACCCTCATATCAAGGTTGGACTAGGCAACCTAGTTGGAGGAAAAAGGTCTAGGTGGGGTTGTGTGACTCTCCCAGGGAAGGGGAAATAGAATAGATTTTTGGGAGGACTGAGGAGCAGGAGAGGGTGGAAAAACAAGTATTTTACAAGGTTCAGTCAGAAGGGTACACAGAGGCCTCAAAAACTGTAATAGAAGAGCCAGATGATATTTTGAACTAGTAGCATGACTTGGCAGCCTGGTTAACTCATGCTGGATGTGTAGGGATGCAAACCACATGAGTTATGGGGTCATGGATGCTCTCAAAAAGATTGTCGAAGGCCTTTGGTGATGGACATTGTATGGCAGGATTGGATTCCCTACAAGAACAACAACAACAACAGCAACGACAACATGAAAGGCCACGGTTTGATTCTGTGAAGATGAAGTCCAAGTCTTAATGAAAACCCTATAATATTAGAAATGCCTGGGACATGAGGTATTTGCCTAGGAATCTTTATGCATACAGCGGTGCCACGTGACTTTAGAGGCCACACGGGCTGCACACCACCAAACTGTAGGGGTGGAGTCACTAGGTGCACCACAACAGGATGCAGGTGATGCCACCAAGTGGCCCAGACACTGGACACAAAGCAACAGGGTTTAGTGTTTGCTCTGTTGTATTTCCTTTTTATTTGAGTCATTTTTTTTCCTTGCTATGCCTCCCCAAATTCCTCTTATACTTTGGAATGAGAATATTTACTCTTCGCCATTATTTATTAGAAATATGTACATTTTTAAAATTCTGATAAGCTCTGAGTGAAGATGTCTCGAATCTCAAAAAAGACCTTGGTCTTTGTACTTTTGAACAATGTTGGATAATTAAAGATTAGGAATTCTTAAATGGGAGTGAAGGCATTTAGCATTATGATACATCCATGAGCCTCTGGAGACAAATTCTGGTTTAAATATTTATTTTTTACAGTTTTATGTGTGTGTGTGTGTGTGTGTGTGTGTGTGTGTGTGTGTGTGTGTGTGTGTGTGGTCTGCATATTTGTGGGGAAGTCAAGAATTGTTTTGTGGAAGTTGATTCACTTTGTGAGTTCCTAGGACACAACTGAGATCATCTGGCTTGGCAGCAAGTACCCTTAGCCTCTGAGTTATCTTGGTGGTCCACATGTTATGATTTAGAATTATGCGTTTCAATGTCAATGTGATAAAGGGTAGACCTATGATGGTTGATGTTAGCTGTTAAGTTGTCTAGATTAACAAGTATCTAAGGCATTTATTAGGTAACTTTGGATGTACCTGTGTGGGTGTTTCTAGGGCAGTTTAACTGAAGAGAAAAGACTTACCTTGATGTGGGTGAAACCATCTCATGGGTTGGGGTGCCAGGATGAATGAAAAGGAACAAGTAGTGGATTACCGCCTTGCCTCTATCTATATTCTTAGTGCAGATACAATCTGACCAGCCACCTCATGTTCTGGCCATCATTGCTTTCCTGCCATGGTGTGTGTGGCAGACTATATCTCTTTAAAGTATAAACCAAAATACATCTTTCCTCAAATTGCTTTTGTGAGTTATTCCATCAAAGATATAAGAAAAATAATTAGTAAACTTTCTAAATGTAAAAGCCCTTGGGACGTCTGCTTCAAATTTATATTTCAGAGGTGGCATAGGCTGAGAGTGGCAAAGGATGTTTCTTCTCGTTGTCCTATTATGATTAGAAAGAATTAATTTGAAAATGGAGAGTTAAACATTTAAGCCTTTAAAAAAATTTCAAGACAGCAGTCCTCAGTGCTGTGTGATGTTCTGTATGGCAAATGTGTTGCTGATTGGTCAATAAATAAAACACTGATTGACCATTGGCTAGGCAGGAAGTGTAGGCGGGACAAGGAGGAGAATAAAGCTGGGAAGTGGA